CCAAACTTTTTTGGTCTCGTAGTTCCATAAATAGCCGTCCCCCCATACCACTTAAAATAGCATCTAACACACGTAATGCTGCACGATCTACATGGAGTCTATCTACAGTTGGAAATCCCCATATGATATGGGTTTGACTACCTGTATCTTTAAGAACAATTTCACTAAAGGTATCTTTTTTACTTAAAGGCTTAATCTTTTTGGGGGTAACCATCTGACGTGCTAATAAAGTTTTAGCAAATAATTGCTCAACCTTATCAATTGCTTCCTTAGCAGAAATATTACCCGATATACCAATCACGATTTCTGTTTCTGATAAAAGTTGATGATGGATCTTTTGTATATCTGGGCGTGAAATTGCATTGAGCGATTCAACAGAACCAAGTATAGAACGTCCATAAGGGTGATTTTCATAAAAATGTGATCTAAACTGTTGTGCTGTATAACGATATTTGTGCTCACGTAACGCTTCTAGTTCACGTAATTGATCTAAACGTTCAATATCAAGTTCTCGCTGAGCAAAGGCTGGTTGTTGTAAAACATCAAAAAAGAGCTCTAAACTCTCGGAAAGTTTGTCTTTTAAAAAACGTCCAGAAAGTGCAATTACATCTTGACCAGCAGAGGCACCGATAGATGCACCAAGACTGTCTAATCTTCGTTCTAATTCTGTGGGTGATAAGCTGCTTGTACCTTGATCCCATAAAGATGTCATTAACCTTGTAATACCTTCTTTACCTTCAGGTTCTGCCCAAACACCTAGCCCAAATGATGCATACATTGAGACCAAAGGCGATTTCTTATCTTCTTGGTGTACTAAACGGACACCATTTGGTAATTGATACCAGGAAACATTAGCTTGTTCATCATGACCTAGTAACGTCGCAACCGCTTTGCTCTCTGGATCTAGGCTCTCTGCCTGTTTTGCCCAGTTCAGTACTTCTTGCTTACTTGGTAAAGGATCTCCAGTTGGTACTAATAAAACAATATTGGCTTGTGCTGATTTCAAATAAGTAGCTGCAACGCGTTGTAAATCTTCTTGAGTTAGCTGGCGCAATGAGGCAATATATGCCTGTCCAAATTGTGGGTTACCGTAGGTTGTATCAAAACGGCCAAGGTAACGGGCGATTCCTTGATAGGTTTCTTGGGCATGTACAAATTGACTAATTATTCTCGTTTTTGCTGCTTCTAAATCTGCAGCTGTAATCTGAAGCTCTTGAGCACGGTTAGCTTCTTGGATTAAGGTCTGAATAACATCTTTAGCGTACTTTGTTTCAAAACTAGCTCCAAGAATAAAAGCGCCTGGATCTTTAGGTGTATAGTTATAAGCAGAGACATCTAGTGCTAACTGGCGCTGACGCTTTAAAACATCATAAAGAATGGAGTTTCCACCTGTCCCCAGGATATCACTTAGTAAATCAAGAGCAGCTAGGTCTTGATGAGAGGCCGCGATACCAGGAAAAGCAATCTCGACACGTGCTAACTCTGCCCGAAAATTAAATGTATCTACTCTGGGTTGTTGTTGAGCTGGCTCTGAAGGACGTGGTCGCTCTGGTAGCTGTTGTTGCAGACGTTCACCATAGGTTTTTTGAAGACGTTCGAGCAGTTCTTCACGTTTAAAATCGCCAACGGCAACAAAAACCATATTATTAGGTACATACCAACTTTTAAAAATACGAATCAGTTCATCACGGCCAATTTTATTGACTGTTTCGGGATAGCCAATTACTGGCCGCCCATAAGGATGCTCTTGGTATAAAAGTTTAGATAAGCGATACCATAATTCGCGATCGGGACTATCTTTACCACGGCGAATTTCTTCTTGGACAACTTCTAACTCACGCTTTAGCTCTTCAGCGTCAAAGAGCGGATTTAAAACTGCATCGGCAAGGGCATCAAACCCTTGTTGCCAATACCGGCTAGAAACGGTTAAGTGGTAAACAGTTTCATCATTACTCGTCCAGGCATTCACATGCCCCCCTGCACTCTCAATCATCGATGCCATCTCACCTTGGGGAAACTGCTGGGAGCCTTTAAATAACATATGCTCAAATACATGAGCGACACCGGCAACAACTTCTTCTTCGTCTGCACCGCCAAACCTGACCCAGTTCTGTAATGAGACAACGGGTGCACTGTGGTCTTCTAACAATAAGATTCGTAAACCATTATCTAAAACAACGGTTTCAGCCTGTCCAAAAGCATCTTGATTTACGTTCATTGTTTCAGTTGCCATTTTTGCTTTCATTGCGACACAACCTCCTTGTAACAGAGCCATACATAACGTTACGGCAACTGTGTATGTACGCCCTCTCCGTTTTTTTCTCGATAGACTTAAACCGTGCATATGGAACTCCTAAATAAGCCTTAGATTATTCCGTGACCTTAGCGTATCTATAACTAATAGATGCGCTAATATTTATGTTTTGTTTCCTATTGTATCGTTTATGATATCAATATCCTGAGTTTCATAATGATTCTACAGCATACACGCTTAACAGATAGGCCAATTGGTAGGCATTTCTAACTCAAGTTCTCCAGTTTTATCTCGATATAGCGTGGGTTCTATTGTTAGTTTAGGAAATTCTCTCACAAATGTGATTACGTCATCTATACATTCTAAAGATGCCAACTGTTCCAAGTTACGTACCGTCGGAAATAGCATCGGCATTTGGCCTTCAGTATAAGCCATTAATGCTTCTTGAGGGTGCATCCAACAGATATTTTCAATTTCATCTGGATGGGGAAAAACTTGAAGTTGTTCAGGTACTTGGAGTACAAAGAAATAGGTATCAAACCGAACTGGCATTGGTTTTGGTGTAATCCAGCGAAGCCAATAATGTAGTTTGCTGATGTCTAACTTGATCTGCGCTTTGATAAGATCTGTATAAAAAGTTTCTAAAGAGATCATTGTTGCTAAGCTGTCAACGGATTCTGTCTCATCCTGCGTAACTAAAATGCCAACCTCTTCATATAACTCGCGGCATGCTGCAAGAGCAATAGGATAAGTTACATCTGTTGAACAACATGTCGGAGAGGTATTAGAAAGACGACTCAAAGCGCTATCTGAAGCATCTTCGGGGTCTATCTTACCGCCAGGAAAAACATAATACTCTGGTGCCACTCGTGATGTTTTTGGTCGCTGCACAAACAGAATTTCAAAAGATTGTTTTACTCGCCGTAAACATAGAACAGATGCCGATACTTGGGGTTCTACTGATTTTGAATTCCCATAAGAGCTATCTACAGGTTCTTTGATGATCATTCGTTTTTAGGGATAAGTTGCACAACTTCTGAGTCAGTCTATCATGAGAGACTTTGATGTTAAAAACATTGATTAAGATTTAGGAGCTAATACTCGATATGGATGTTATTCGTAAACAAACAGGTCATTTTTTAGAAGATTTTACTCCAGGACAGTTATTTCGCCATAAACGAGGCAAAACGATAACTGCTGGTTTATTTAATGACTTTACCGATTTCTCTTTTACAACAAACCCATTATCCAAAAATAATACCTATGCGACTTTATATGGATTTAAAAGTCTTGTTTGTCCTCCTGGCTTGGTGATGAATGTTGTTTTTAGTCAGACCGTAGAAGATATTAGTGAAAATGCTCGCGCGAATCTGGGCTATAAAGATATGTGTTTTGGTGCGCCCCTGTATATTGGAGACACGATTGAGGTAGAAACAAAAATCCTCGAAATTATTCCTAGTAGTAAAAATGATGACCGTGGTGTTGTTACAGTACAAAGTACAGGTCGTAATCAGCATGGCAACGTTGTCTTAACTTTTCAGCGCTCTGTTCAAATTTGGAAACGTGATTCTAAAAAGATAGTAGAACATCAAAAGTTGGATCATGCGGATCTTGTCGAAGCGAAACCAGTACTACCAGACTATGACCATAATAAACGTTATTCTGACAAAGCTTATCTAACAACATCTGATAGCTATTTTGAAGATTTTAAACCAGGGACACTCCTTGAACATAGTCGTGGACGTGTTGTTACAGATGAACATATTGCCTTAACAGGTAAACTAGATAATACGAGCCAAGTTCACTGCAATCAGTATCTAATTGATGCAAACCCTGGAAAATATTTAGGTGGTAAGTTGCTTGTTTATGGTGGTATTCCTTTTAATCTCTGCTTGGGATTAAGCTGTGCAGATATTGGCGAAAATGCACTTTCCGATGTATGTTACGCTTCTGGTAAACATACTGCACCCATTTTTGTTGGCGATACTGTTTTCTGCAGCACTGAGATTAAAACGGCTGCCCCTTATCCGGAACGTGAAGACTTAGGCCTACTAACTACTGTATTACGGGGTTATAAAATGCAGCGTCAAGAAGACGATGGTTCTTGGCAACGGATACAAATTTTTGAGTTGGAACGTCAATTAGCTATTAAGCGTCGTAGCCATTACGCATAGCTATAACTACGTGTGACGATACAAATCTAATGCTGTACGCATTTCCTGAATAGCCTTAGTAAAACCAACAAAGATAGCACGGCCAACAATACTATGGCCAATGTTGACTTCTTCTAGTTCTGGTATCTGGGCTAAGAGAGCAATATTATGTAAATTCAAACCGTGACCCGCGTGCACTTGGAGGCTTACACGTGCGGCAGCTCGGCACGCTTCCTTTAGAATATTCAGACGCCGGTCTCTCTCTGCATGTGTACGTGTATTTGCATACTCACCTGTATGTAGCTCGATAGCAGATACACCAATACGTTTAGCTTCTTTTATTTGTTGTAAATCAGGCGCAATAAAAACAGCTGTTTGAATACCAGCATCTCCCAAATGATTCGTGATCCGAGATAGTATATCTTTATTACGAGAGATATCCAGACCACCTTCTGTTGTAACTTCTTCTCTACGTTCTGGTACCAATGTCACAATATCAGGCTTTACTTTTAAAGCGAAGTGAACCATCTCTTGTGTTGGTGCCATTTCAAGATTTAAGGGTACATGGAGAACTTCACGTAATAACATAACATCGCGTTCTTGAATATGACGTCGGTCCTCGCGTAAATGGACTGTTATTTGATCAGCTCCAGCCTGCTCAGCAAAAATTGCTGCTTGGACAGGGTCAGGCTCTGATATCTTGCGTGCTTCTCTTAATGTTGCGACATGATCAACATTTACACCTAACCTAATTCTAGTTAACATCATACTTATTCTCCAAGCATACGTTGTAGTATATCGGTAAGTTCATCTGCATAGACCTGAAGTTGTGTTTTATCTTCTCCCTCAAGTAAGATACGTATAAGGTCCTCTGTACCTGAATAACGTAAAAGTACCCGTCCTCGTCCTTTTAATTTCTGTTCAATTTTTTTGGTTAGATTTGAAATTTCTGGCATTTCGCTAAAAGGAATCTTACGTATTATAGATAAATTCTTTGTAATTTGAGGTATCGGTTCCATCAAAGACGCTAACGTAGACAATGGTTTTCCAGATTCTTGCATTACTTGTAAAATTTGTAACGCTGCTAATGTACCATCGCCAGTAGTGCTTTCATCCATAAAAATAAGATGGCCACTAGATTCACCACCAAAATTACTACCAACTTCACGCATACGTTGGGCAACATAGCGATCACCAACATCTGTACGCTCAACAGTACCACCGCTAGACTGAATTGCAAAATCTAAGCCTAAATTGCTTGTAACTGTTGCAACAACCGTGTTGTTAGTAAGCTTTCCGTGTTCTAATAAATGTCGACCAACAAAGGCAAGAACAGCATCTCCATCAACAATTTTGCCATTTTCATCAATTAAAATTAAGCGATCGCCATCTCCATCTAATGCAATCCCTAAATCGGCACCAATTTCTTGGACACGCCTTTGCGCTAAAGCAGTATCTGTTGACCCAACACCAAGATTAATATTCATTCCATTTGGAGAAACACCTACAGGATGAACATCTGCTCCTAGTTCGCTGAAGACCTCTGGAGCAACTTTATACGTAGCTCCGTTTGCACAATCAACGACAATCCTTAGACCATCTAGTGTTAAAGCTCTCGGAAAAGAGCTTTTTAGGTAAACAACATAGCGACCAACTGCATCATCAATGCGATAGGCTTTGCCTAGTTTTTGAGGGCAAGCTAAATATTTTTCTAAAGAATCCGCTTGTTTCATGTACTGCTCTATTTGGTACTCAGCGGCATCATCTAGTTTAAAACCTGAACGATCAAAAATTTTAACACCATTGTACTCGTAGCTATTATGGCTGGCGCTAATCATAACGCCAGCATCTGCACGCATACCTGAGGTAATAAAAGCAATACCAGGTGTTGGTAATGGCCCAACAAGGTAAACATCAACGCCCATAGCAACCAGTCCGGATGCAAGAGCTGTCTCAATCATATAACCGCTTAAACGTGTATCTTTTCCTATAACAATTTTATGTCGTCTTTGATCTTGTTTAAACCAGGCCGCGATAGCTTTACCTGCCATTAGAGCTGCTTGGCTATCCATCGGCCAAGTATTTGCAATACCACGAATACCATCAGTGCCAAATAATGTCCGCTCAGAACTATGTATTGTCAAATTGGTCATATTATAATTTTATAATCTATCTGTATCATTTATATTTAAGAGTAACTTCTGCAGGGGTAATCTCTGTCATAATAACTTGATCTGGCAGATCTGCGAATACTGGCATTTTGCTTTTGTCTGGAATAGGATTTTGTACTTGGACATAAGCCTCAAGAGATTCCGATGATAATCGTTTAACAAGGTTTTCTGGTCCAACAAGTTTAATGATACTCTTCGTTGTTTGGGGTTCATAAAGGTGACTTAAACCGCGAATTTTTATTGGGACATCAACAAACGTTTGAGTAATCATTTTAGGTACAACCTGAATAAAAACTTCAACTTCACGGGCTGTAATATTTTTAATGTATAAGCCGCTAGTATCGATTTCGACGACGCCACTCCAATCTGTTTTAAGGTCTTGAATTGGTAGACTACGTGTTTTGAGAAATCTAATACCATCTAAGCTAGCTAACGAAACAACAATATCAAGCTGATGGGGTTCAATATCAACTTCACTAATTTCAAAACCAGGTGCAATACTATTTTTGTCTAATACAGCTTGAACCGGTAAACGATAGTTAGATACTCGCTGTAGTTCTACTTCGATAATACTGGGAATGATACGGATAATATCGACACCTCGCGGTAATCGAATACCATCAGGGCGTATACGAATACGTTGTGTTCCAACATCTGCATCAGTAAAATCGATCTCATAATGGCCAACGCCTTGCTCTACTTGCGTCAATAACGTCCTAGGCCCCTCTACAACAACTTGGATTTCTGGTATAGGTTCTCCTACAACCATACGTTCTTCTGGAACGTTAGCATAATGGATAGGTATACGTAGGATGACTTCGTTACGCTCCTCAACACGTACAAAAAACCAAATAAAAAATGCAATAACAACACTTAAAACCTTAAGTAGCCAATTATTCATAACCCACTGTGGCTTCATGTTGGTTGCCCTTGCTGACGTGAATACAACATTTCTTGTAACCGACTTCTAAGCTCTTCTGGCTTTAAATCAAAAATAAACTGTCCTTCAATAGCAACACTAATCATTCCCAATTCTTCACTAACAGTAATGACAATGGCATCAGATTCTTGGCTTAAACCTAGTGCGGCACGATGGCGTGTACCAAATTCTTGAGGAAGTTGAGCATCTGTAGCAAGTGGTAAAACACAACTTGCAGCTACAAGACGATTTCCATCAATAACAACAGCACCATCATGAAGGGGTGTTTTTGGCTGAAAAATTGTTTCAATCAAACGTTGGCTGACAAGAGAGTCAAGCCGTGTACCGCTTTCAATAATTCGACCTAATGCTGTTTTACGTACAAGGACAAGTATTGCCCCTACTCGTTGCTCTGATAGGCGTGAACAAACCCGAACAACTTCTTCAATCACGCGCCCTAGCTCTTCTATCGAAGCACCACCAAATATTTTGGCACGACCTACTTGTGCTAAGCCTCTTCTAATTTCATTTTGAAATAAAACAATAAGAATTAAAAATAAATTATTTACAAAATGTGTCATTAGCCAATTTAGGGCAACTAAACCAAAAAATTGACTGATAAGAAAGGCTGTAAGAATAAATAGTAGTCCTAATAAAACTTGTGCAGCGCGCGTTCCGCGCATAATCACTAAGACACGATAGACGACAATTGTTATAACGACAATATCAAATAAGTCTCGCCATGAAACAGCAATACCTAGCCCATTCATGAAACAAAATCCGTCGTTAATTTCGTCACCACTGACACAGTTTGTCGTGCCCCAACTACATCATGAACTCTAAAAATAGCTGGACGCTTCACGCCAATAGCAGCAATAATTGCATTAGAAATACCATCACGTTCTTGAAAATCAAGATTGCTTAAATTTGTAAAACGCTTACGGCTAGCACCTATAACCCAAGGGACTTGTATAGGTTCACCCATCTCTCTAAAGTATCTAAGTAACTGCCAACATTGTATAGAGTTCTTCGCAAACCCAAGACCAGGATCAAACCAAACTTGCTCCTCTGGTACACCTGCAGCATAAAATTTGCGTGCTTGCGTTTGCCATTCAGCAATAACATCTTGAGCCAAATTGGTATATTGGCACTGTGTATCCATCGTTGTAGGTGTTCCACGTGAATGCATTACAATTACAACAACATTTGCATCTGCGATAAGTGGTAATAAATGCGGATCAAATTTGCCACCACTTACATCATTTACAATTTCAAAACCGTATTTTAGACACTCTTTAGCAACAGCGGCAGAACGTGTATCAATACTTAATGGCAAGGGAATTTCTCTGACTAATTCAAAAAGGGGTTTTAAACGTTCAATCTGGACAGATGCTGGGACTGCCTCAGCATTAGGACGTGTAGATTCAGCACCAACGTCAATTATATCAGCACCTTCCTGGCATAGTTGAGTAATTCGCTGGGCACATTGTTTGGTTGTGACCCATTTCCCGCCATCAGAAAAAGAATCTGGGGTAACATTTAAAATTCCCATGATTGCACTGCGATGTGTTGGTAATTTCCAAGACTGTAAACGCATACTCGGTAAGCAATCTCGAGAATCGATGCTTATCGATACATTACTACACATATAGCTTATATATTATCTGTTGTATCTGAATCTGCAGACGTCTTATCTTCAGTTCCAGCAGAATCTTGAGGCTCTGAAGAGTCTTGGTTAGAAGAAATATCAGATTCAGGCTCCTCGCCACCTTCTGGTGGTAATGGTTGACCATTAACAAGTAGATCTAGGTCTTCTGCCGAAATCGTTTCACGTTCTAATAGGGCTTCGGATACAGCTGTAAGTACATCTTGATGGTCCCTTAGAATCTTTAGAGCTTCATCATAAGCAGTTCGTACTATTTGTTGAACCTCTTCGTCAATTAACAACGCAGTAGATTCACTATAATTCTTAACTGAAGCAAAATCACGCCCTAAAAAGACCTCTTCATTTCCCTTATTACCAAAACGTAACGGCCCAACTTTCTCACTCATACCCCATTCGCAAACCATCCGCCGTGCCATCTCTGTAGCACGTTCAATATCATTACCAGCACCTGTTGTTATCGACTCAAAGATAAGTTCTTCAGCAGCACGTCCACCCATCAGCACTTTTATCATTGCCAATAAATAATCGCGTGAATATGTATGCATCTCTTGTTCAGGTAACTGCTGTGTTAATCCTAAAGCCATTCCCCGAGGAATAATCGTCACTTTATGTACAGGGTCAGCATCCGGTAAATAAATAGCGACTAAAGCATGACCAGCTTCATGGTAGGCCGTAATACGTTTTTCTTTATCAGAAAGTACCATTGAACGCCGTTCTGCGCCCATTAATACTTTATCTTTAGCTTGTTCAAAGTCTGCCATCGTAACAGCTGGTTTATTTTCTTTATTTGTCTGTTTTCGTGCGGCTAGTAATGCTGCTTCGTTGACCAAGTTTTCAAGATCAGCACCACTTAAACCAGGTGTGGATTTAGCAATAGCTTCAATATTTACATCTTTGGTTAATGGTACTTTTTTCTTTTCTGAATGAACTTCTAAAATATGTTGACGACCTTTTTTATCTGGCATTGGCACAACAACACGACGGTCAAAACGTCCTGGCCTAAGTAACGCAGGATCAAGGACGTCAGGCCTATTTGTTGCAGCGATAATAATGACCCCTTCGGAAGAGTCCATACCATCCATCTCAACTAACATTTGATTTAATGTTTGTTCACGTTCATCATGACCACCACCAAGACCAGCACCTCGGTGTCTACCTACAGCATCAATTTCGTCAATAAAAATAATACCTGGTGCAGATTTTCGTGCTTGAGCAAATAGATCTCGTACACGACTAGCCCCTACCCCAACGAACATCTCGACAAAGTCACTACCACTAATACTAAAAAAAGGAACATCCGCTTCACCTGCTACAGCTTTAGCAAGCAGTGTTTTACCTGTACCAGGTGACCCGATCAATAATACACCTTTAGGAATACGTCCCCCAAAACGTGTAAATTTCTCTGGATCCTTAAGAAAATCAACAATTTCTTTCAACTCATCTTTAGCTTCGTCTACACCGGCAACGTCTTGAAACGTAGTCTGCTTTTGATTCTCATTAACAAGTTGTATCCGAGCTTTACCAAAAGACATTGCTCGACCACCGCCAGCTTGCATCTGCCGAATCATTAAAATCCATAAACCTATAATTAATAGCATGGGAAACCAGCTGATTAAAATAGATTTCCATAGGGATTCTTCTGGTCTTGGTTGCACTTCGACAATGACATTTTTAGACCGTAAGAGAGAAATAAGTTCTGGATCTTCAGGTACAAAGACCTCAAATTTCTCTTTATCCACAGTGCTACCTTCTAAACGGTTATCAATAATTTTTACTTTTTCGACTGCATCTGTATCAACAGCGTTGATAAACTCACTATAATTCCATTTAAGTGCAGTCTGTTCTGGAACAGGAAAAATGTTGTAGATAACAACAAGAAAAAGAATCAGTAGAAACCAGAGAGCAAGATTACGATAGAAACTTTGCAAAGAAATCCCCGTATTACAAGCGTTAACGCAAATTTTTGATTAATAAATTATAAAGAGCCATAAAAACTTTACGAATCAATAAACTGAAACTTTTCTGTACAGAATTTGAACAAAATATATTTTTGTTTAATCTTCTAGTAGTTTACTAGTTTAACTCAAATTTAGATATATTAAACGTAATTAATTTTGCAGGACTCTTCGTAATATTCTAGAGTAACAAAAACAGGCTGTTTAGTCCAAGAAGAGATACTAGAAAGGTTAAATACAGATGGCTTTACTCACACCTGTGGCTAAAGCCCCTACGATTACTCTACAAGATCAGAATAGTCATACTCAAAAACTAACAAACTTTAAAGGTAAAAAAGTTCTTTTATACTTTTATCCAAAAGCAAATACTCCCGGTTGTACAACACAATCTTGTGAATTACAATCCTCTTTGCCCGATTTTCAGAGCCTAAACGTTGACATCGTTGGTATTAGCCCTGATCTTCCAGAAGCACAAAAAAAGTTTGCAGATAAATACAACCTAACTTTTCCGTTACTATCAGACCCAGAGCATATCACAGCTCAACAATACGGTGTCTGGGGTGAAAAATCAATGTATGGTCGTAAGTATATGGGTATTATTCGCTCTTCTTTTTTGATTGACGAAACAGGTTTAATTCTTAACTGTTGGTACAAAATCAGCCCAAAAAAGACAGTACCTGAAGCGCAAAAAGCATTAAATGCTTTAAATAAAACTGCGTAGCTAAAATAACTAGATAGACAATTCGTATAATAAATAGTTGTTATTTAGATTACGATATTTTTTTATATTTTTATTTTTTAAATCTTTACTTATTTTCAGCTTTTCAGCGCCCGTAGCTCAGCCGGATAGAGCAGGAGCCTTCTAAGCTCAAGGTCGCAGGTTCGAATCCTGCCGGGCGCATATTCAAAAATTCATAAGCCTATCTAAAACTCTTTAATAAAAAACCTAACTAAATACCTCCTATTAGTAGCCTAGAAAAAACACGTAATTTCCCTTTATCAAAAAAAGCTTCCTTCAGCACTTTTTTAGGAACAACAAGGTTCTGTTCTATTTCTGGGTTATCAAAAATAGCTTCACCTTGTTCAATGAGATCTTTGAATTTGACACGAAACCCTCCCCAGGGATCAGCTATAACAGCTTCTTCATTTGGCATTGGCTTAGGGCCAACTTGTAAAAACCGGCTCCCATTTTTGTTTGTTAACCATTTAAAAAACGAAGATTGATCATCTAATCCAATAACAACAAACGCATGATCCTCGCTATTAATTGCATACACATCCACTGCTAATTTTTCTGGTCCTTCTCTCTCTATCTGTTGCAAATAAATCTGGGCTAAGTCAGCACAATTACCGAACTCACAGTGGTGTATATCAAAAACAATACGTTTTTTTAACGGTAGTTTCATATCTTCCTGTGTCTGGCGTAATCGTTCAATCAGTTGTTGAATTCCGTATATCTGTTCTAATTCCTCAAGTTTTGTTTCTAGTTTCGCAAATTGCGCTTCTGAAAGATGTTGCCGAAAAATCAATCGTGTATTACGGTCTCTTAAAAATTTAGCAAAAGTTGCTTGGCTTCCTTTTTTTTCTAAGAATTGATTAAAAGAGTCATCAATAAATTTTATTGTTTGCTCATCTAAGTCTAATTCCAGATATAAATTTTCTAGCATTCTGGTTGCAGAAGTTGACTGTGTACGTAGCTTTTCAAAAGATGCGTCTGCAATGCGGAGATTAGACTCGGCATATCCTAAACATCTACCAGCCAATACTACAGTAGAATGGCTATTTAACAAAAGTACGATTACTGCTACCTGAAATATCTGAAATTTCATTTAAAAACCTCTTTACCTGATTTAATTGAGCGATATAGATATCTTATCGATATTGATCAAACTTATGTTTAAAATTAAATATTTTATTACCTTATTCTGTTACATTTTCTTACATTTATGTTACTTATGCAGCAAATATAATAGCAATGTTATCATATTTATTTTTCAATTATATTCTTTCTAATATCAATAAGATTTTGAGGTTCTTATTATGTTGTCTCTCTACAGAGTTACTACTTATTTATCGTTATTTGTCACATTCATTACGTTTCTTTCTCAGCCAGCCTTTGCAGGTAGTTGTGTTTTTAACGATCCTCAAGAAGAAGAAACCTCATTCTCTGAGCCGGAGTATTTAGAAACAGGCGGTCTTGACGACTTAGAGTATGTAAAGACTTCTCTTACAGAAGTGCCAAGTAGTGATTTTTCAACACACCTTTCAGAAAAAATTGTGGAGTTACCCTAAAGCTGTAGACACTCTAAATTTAGAAAAAGGAGTGTTAAATGTCGAATCAGAAGTACAGCCAGGAATTCAAAATAGAAGCAGTGCGCCAAGTCACAGAGCAAGGTTACAGCGTTGTTGAAGTATCGATGCGCCTAGGCATCTCTGATAAAAGCCTATATGCCTGGCTAAAAGATAGCCGCTTTAATTGTGTACAGAAAGATAATCCCGACAAACAAGAAATACAAAAACTGAAGCTTGAGGTACGTCGCTTAACTCAGGAGCGTGACATCCTAAAAAAGGCCGCAACGTACTTTGCCAAACTGTCAGAGTAAAGTACGTGTTTATCAAAAATCATCAAAAGACGTTTCCTGTCACCGCAATGTGTCGTGTCTTGCAAGTACATCGCAGTGGCTTTTATGCCTGGCTAAAACAGCCACAGTCAAACAGAGCTATCGAAAATAAAAAGCTGCTGGCAATGATCAAGAAGTCTTATCAAGAATCAGGTTGTACTTATGGAAGCCCACGTATCTATCAAGACTTACGGGCAATGGGTATTAAGATAAGTAAGAATCGAATTGCTCGTCTAATGAGAAGAGCAGGCATCGTTGCCAAGTATAGCTACAAGAAACGTAAGTTTATCTACAGTAAGCCATCGGTAGTGGCGCCCAACCTTGTCAAGCAACAATTTGATGTATCTGCTCCTAATCAGATATGGGCTACAGATATCTCATATGTGCGTACCAAGCAAGGGTGGCTATATATTTCAGTGGTATTAGATTTGTATTCACGGCTGGTGATAGGTTGGTCGATGCAGTCACGGCAGAAAAGAGATTTGGTATTAGCTGCGTTATTAATGGCATTAAGTAGAAGAAGGCCAGAATCACAAGTGATTATTCATTCAGATCAAGGGAGTCAATTTACCAGTTATGAATGGTTAAACTTTTTAAAGGATCATAATTTGGTAGCGAGTATGAGTGGTCGAGGCAATTGTTATGACAATGCGGTAGTAGAATCATTTTTCAGCTCATTGAAGAAGGAAAGAATTGGTAAAAGAGTGTATGAAACAAGAACGATAGCGCGTGCAGATATATTTGATTATATCGAAATGTTTTATAATCGAAGACGTCGCCATAGTTATTTAGGAGGTATTAGCCCAAAACAGTATGAAAATTGTAGTATATCAACGAATCAACTGTCTACAGCTTTAGGGTAACTCCATTGAAAACCTTGAATCATTCCAAGAGGATATGCTTTATCTTTAGATTTAAATGCAGAAGGAATCGTTGAATCTGCTGGTGGAATTGGACTTGGGATCTTAATTTCTATGGCTTCTATTTTAGAGGACTCCGACAATAATAGATCACCGTTAAGTGCTCTTGCTGGCCTAGGAGCCATCCCAGGAGGTTATATTACAAACTTTATTACCTATGTACACGGTACGCACGACCATGGTTTTCTAAAAGTATTAAAGGCTTCGATCAAACTGGCTGCTACAATTTTTCCACCTGTGGGTTTCGTTGACCTTTTTGTTTCTTTATTTCATTCCGATAAAGATGATGCGGAAGATATTACAAATAAAGGTATTTCTAAAGCAAGACGTTTTTTAAATAGCATAAAAACCTATAGCTGGGGAGGCACTCCTCCACCACGCCCTACGACTGCTCATATGCTTGCAAGCCTTACTCCTGAGGTAATCAAACAATATCTGGTTCAAATTTTTACGAAGCACCACCCTAACGTTTCATTCTCAATATCAGATACCGAACGTAAATTAATCTGGCAATCTATGACTGTTATTGATGCTAATTTTGATCTTTATACATCAATGCAGATGAATGCCCAACACTTAAAGCCTTGTTATACAAAATCAGGTTCAGAATTCAATACTTGCCTTGAAAATGCATTGCTTAATCTTAGATTGCCTGAATTTAGTTCATACAATGAACAAGCGATAAAGCTACTTGACCAAAAAAGCAAACTTATTCAAGATTTTGTCAAAGCAAAAACAAACCACTTAAAAGACCAGTTTAAAACGACAGCTTTTGATGATTTACCAACAGATCTAAAAATATCTCAATCCTATGCACAAATCGTTGGTAGTGATGACTTTGCAAAAGCTCTAATTCATAATTATATGCTTGCTTATTTTCAGAGTTACTACGATGCTGAGTTATCACAAATAGCTAAATTAGAAGATAATTATTATGACACTGCTTATAAGATAGAGGAGAAAGACGCGGAAAGGGAAGAATATATATACTCTGGTGGTGGAGAGGGCTTGTTTGGATTTGGTAGTCTTAATTATCCGGACAAACGTGTTCCTGGTGTCTACCGTCATGCAGCACACCAACTGCACCAATTGTACCAAAGTGCTCCTAAATATGATCCTTCTAAAGATCCATTAACAGCACAATATGCCGCTTCACAAGAATATCTAACTGCTTTTAAAAATCATATTCGTAATCAAGGTACACAGTACAAAAAGGCCTTTAAAGATGCCTTGTCTCAATTTGTGTCTGTTACTCTCCCTACCGATCTCGATTCTTATCTTCATTGGAAAGCTAAAAGCGATTTATATGCAGAAACTGAAAAAAGTAAGCGGTTAAGATACTGCCACGCGCATTATTCAACTGATAAAAGCTGTGCCGCAGAGTTTACCGACCCTTGCTTTAAACATGTACTTGGAAAAGCTCCTCAACCTGTACAACAAAAACCTAAAACAACCCATAAACTTTCTTTTTCTGGATTTCTCAA